GTTAAAGTTTGTTCCTGGAGATATACATACATACATACATACATACATACATACATACATACACATAGCAATCATATACCATATGAATTCCTCAGCTCAGTAGACCTATACTTAGTTATTAACCACCTCCTCCCCAAGCCTGCTTTTTGCACTGTTTAACCTGAGCTCAGAAAGTAAATAATTACCTTGTTATAGGGAATATCTAGAAAGTTGTATAAAAATTTACACGTGTTTAGCCAGTATCATGAAAAATATACCAGTTGTACAGATTAATGCTACAGTATGGAGATTAGTTATAGATGCTCGTTTTTTGTTTTTTTATACGAGTCCGTATTTCTCCTTTTAAATTCTTTTGCTAATATCAAAAGTGGATGATAAACACATACAGGTGAACCTCGGTTTACAAATGCCTCAGTTAACGTAATGTTCGGTTTACGAATGAAAATCCATTGAAAATAATGCCTCAGTTTACGAATTGTTTACAATTTTTTTTTTTCGCAATATGAAGTGTATGTCGGTGCTGATTTTTAAATGCAATTGCCATCCTTTTTTTTCTTTCTTCACTATAGCTCACAAGGTTAGCTGTCACTTTCCCAGGAGTTACAGGAAACTTTGTTTCTTTTAGGAAACTAAACGGAAACATTGTTTCTTTTAACTTGGGGAAATAAACTAACAGAAAACTTTCTCTCTTTTAGCTGGGGTGAAAGTGACAGCTGAATTTTTGAACTATAGTGAAGAAAAACAAAGCGGTAATTACATTTAAAAACCAGCACCATAATATATAAAAACCATAAATCCATTCCAGACCCTTATCTGAGCATGCAGCCTGGCAGGTCAGGGGGGGAGCGAGCGCCCCCTCCTGAACTATACCAGACCACATGCCCTCAACATGGGGGGGGGGGGGTGCTTTGGGCAGGGGGGCTCCCCCCCCCCCCCTAAAGCACCTTGTCCCCATGTTGATGGGTACAAAGGCCTCTTCCCCGCAACCCTGGCCGGTGGTTGTGGGGGTCTGTGGGCAAGGGGTGTATCAGAATCTGGAAGCCCCCCATGTGAATGAGTATGGGAGGGTACATGGTACCGCTACTCATTTACAAAAAACAAAGTGTAGTGTGAAAAAAGATAGGACAGTGTTTTACAAGTCCTTTATTAAAAGAAAAAACGAAAAGAATGTCCCCCGCAGCCACCCCCCCTCCCCCAAAGCACCCTCCTATGTTGAGGGCATGCGGCCTGGTATGGTTGGGGGGGCGCTTGCTCGTCCCCCCGTCCCCCCCCCCCCCCCCTTTTTCCTGACCTGCCGGGCTGTATGCTCGGAAAAGGGTCTGGTATGGACAACTCAATTTTTTTTACATTTTGGCGTGGGAGTTCCCCTCAAAATCCATACCAGGCCCAAAGGGCTTGGTATGAATCGGAGAGGGAACCCCATGCCGTTTTTTTAAAATTTCTTTTTTTTTATTTGCTGGCAATTTGTTTACATTCAGCTGTCAGTGGGGAACTCCGCTGACAGCTGAAGCATTAACACATGGTTGTCACTACTAAAATACCACATGACTTAATAAAATAATTCATGCTGTATTTTAGTAGCGTTTACTTTTTTCTGACCTCCGGAATGGAGTAATTGTTTTTCAGTGCATTCCTATGGGAAACGGTGTTTCGGTTTACGAATTTTTCGAAAAGGCCTGAAGAACGAACTAAATTCGTAAACCGAGGTATTACTGTATGTTAAATACTATATATTTTTGCATAAATTTCATTTTTAAACTAAGTTTCTGTATGCAAAGGCATTTTATATGTGTAAATGGTACAGTTATCATTGTCCTGAAAGTGAGCCCATACAATGTGAGTAGGTGTGTCAGGATCCTATTATGGTATAGTGACCACATTATTTATTATGTTACTAATATTGGTTTACTTATCACCCGGAAACCTCTGGTTCAGGAAATTATTCAGCTTGTTTGAGCGTTTAGTGCGCATTAAAGGGTCTCTAGCTCCACTTTTTTTCTTGTTCCTCTTTCAGTTACCAGATAGTGGATGTTTATGTAAAGACTTGTAATAGGAAATGTCTTGTTTTTTTTGTAAAGGTGCACATTTATATGAGAAATCGCCGTACTAACTGATGTTAGTGTGCCAATCTCCACTGAGCTATTGTGTTCTGACAGGGTGACTGCCCCTTTCGCCAAAACACACTAATTAGCACTCACAGCCATTGGCTGCCAGCGCTGGTCAGATGCTGGTTTTCCAGCACACCCATTCGATAATAGCTGGTCGTTAGGCTGGCTTCTGTCGGACAGGCTGCTGTACACACGGGCCAGATATGAGCCAGTTTCTGTTAATCGGGCAGAATTTTGGCCTGTGTATACCAGCTATTAGAATAGAAGGTTTTCTTTCCTCTGTTCATTTTTTCTTTTTTATCTTATAGGGAGAATTTCACCATTTTCTCAGAATCTTTTTGCAGTTCTACTTTTTATTTTACGACATTGCACATTGTGACAGTGGCTTTTTTTAAAATTTTGGATACAGCAAGAAAGGGGGGAGGTTATATTCCTGGCAAAAAAACTCCCCCTTTTTGTTTCGATAACATTGTGACCATCCCCTCACTTAATCTAAAACGAGATATAGGTTTGGCTGGAGTTTGTTTATGGCCGAGAAGAGATGAAAGTCTAGGTGAATGTTCAATGTGCACAGACTGCTTTCTCAGTCTCTAATTTTACAGAACTTGCTATTTCCATAGAATTATTTCCATGGTGGTATTGCCCATTTGTTTAACCGCCTCCCGTCCACCATATAGTAATATGACGGATGCAAGGTGGTTCTCTCGTTCTGGGAGGACATCATGACATCCTCCCATTCTAACCTCACATGCGCGGCTCCCAGGGCGCACGGCATTTGGCGGTGTGCTGTGTCCCCCGGACACAGCGGATCACCGATCCACGGAAAGAGCTGAAGATGTCTGCTCGGTCATGTGATCAGCTGTGTCCAATCACAGCTGATCACATGTAAACAGGGAAATGCCGGTTATCAGCATTACTCGGAAGGGACATCTACACAGATCATCAGAGCACTGATGATCAGTGTGCCCTGATGATCTGTGTAGCCCCAGCAGCGCCGCCTGTCCGTGTCCATCAGTGCCAGTGCTCAGTGCTCATCCATGCCACCTGCCAGTGCCACATCAATGCCACATATCAGTGCCCATCTGAGCTGCCTTTCAGTGTCACCTATCAGTATGCATCAGTAGTGCCATATATCAGTGATGCCTGTCAATGCCCATCAGTGCCACCTACCAGTGTCTCCTCATCAGTGCCCATTAGTGCTACCTATCAGTGGCAGTCAGTGCCGCCTATCATTGCCATATATCAGTGCTGCCTTTCAGTGCCCATCGTTGATGCCTGTCAATGTCCATCAGTGATGCCTGTCAATGCCCATCAGTGCTACCTATCAGTGCAGCCTATCAGTGCCCATCACTGCAGCCTCATTAGCGCACATCAGTGAAGGAGAAAAATCACTTATCTACAAAATTTTATAACAAAAGCTAAGAAAAAAACGTAGTTTTTTTCCAAATTTTCAGTGGTTTTTTGTTTAAGAAAAATAAAAAACCCTGAGGTTATTAAATACCACCAAAATAAAGCTCTATCTGTCACAAAAAAAAAATGATAAAAATTTCATATGGGTACAGTGTTGCATGACCGCGCAATTGTCATTCAAAGTGCAACAGTGCTGAAAGCTGGAAATTTGGCCTGGGATGGAAGGGGGTATAAGTGCCCTGTAGGCTAGTGGTTAAAAAAAGTCTTTTTTTTTTTTTTTTTTTTTTTTTTTTTTTAAATCCCTTTTGTGAAAGTTTTGGTGAAAAGTGATTCCTATTAAAGATAGATGAACCTCCTGTATGAATGGGCAGAGATTGATGGGCATTAAAAGATGATTTTAATGGCAGTCTACAAGTTTATAAACAAGTTCTGTAGTTGCTACATTTCCCATAACTTTTCATCTGAAGACTTGTGTGATAAGTAATCAGATGTGGCAGCTCACACCTCTGCCAAAGGCTGTGACAGATGACCACAGTCTGTTGTTTGTATAAATAACACCCCAGCAACTCATTTTGGCCTACATTGTGGTTAGGCAGAACTATGCTGTATGTGTGTCTGCTAAGAAACTAAAACACCAGCATTCAGAGAAACACACTCATGGAGTTCAGCTATTAGATAGTGTTGGCTTCCTGGGGTTTGTGAATAGTTGTCAAATAAATGTTGATCAGTTAAATGTAAATTTTTAAGGTATATGTCTGGGAAAAAAAACCAAAACCAACCTATGTAATACATGCACTTTTGGCATAGGTTGTCTTGGATGCTCCCCAGCATTGCGAGTGAACAAAGGGGAGAAGCAGCCCACTGATGACCTCTCTCCTCTCTCTGTCACTCTTTCTCCTCCTATTGGCGATACTTCTTGTCAGCGCATGATCTGATTGGCTTCTGCTGCTTCATCTCACACTCTAGCTCTGCTGTACAGAAACTTCAAGTAGCTAGTATCAAATTCAGGTACTCGCATAACTATTTTATTTAAGAAATACACTGTGTATTAACCCTTTCACCGTCGGAGCTGTTTTTGCATTGTTTGCGCTCATGTGTGAAAAATAATTTCAGGCCTGGAGATTGTATAAACCCCAAAATATATATTTTCTGAAAGCAGACACCCTAGAGCAGGGGTGTCAAACTGATGTCCTTCCAGCTGTTCCAAAACTACAAGTCCCATCATGCCTCTGCCTTTGAGAGTCAAGCTTGTAACTGTCAATCTTTCAATGCCTCATGGGACTTGTAGTTTAGCAACAAATTGAGGGCTACCAGTTTGACACCCGTGCCCTAGAGAATATTAGTGCAAAGTGCTAGGAAATGCAAAATTTCAGTAAAAAATATACTAAAGTTAAGTTTAGGGCACCCAAAATGCAATAAATTAACCAATTTTTGGTAAAATCTAAAAGATGAGGTTGCACTAAGAGATACCAAACATGTCAGAACTTAACCTCCTTGGCGGTATTCCCGAGTGTAGCTTGGGGTAAAGTTTCAGTACCAAAAGCGGTAACCCCGAGCTACACTCGAGCTTACCATGCGGCTCAGCTCTGGGATCTGTTCTTCTCTTACCTTGTCCTGTGCTCCTGCGATGTCCCTCCTGCAGTGTCCCCTGTATTGTCCTCCGGCGGATGCCAGCATCTGTCTTCTGGGTTCCATCCCCTGCGACTTTGGGACGGGGGATGGAACTAGCAGGAAATTTGAATGACAAAAAGTGACATTCACTAAATTCTCTAAAATCACATAGTAAAACATTACTGTATCAAACCATTTCACATACATTTTGTCCCGAGTGCTTTGTCCTGTGCCCTGCCTGCATTTATACTGTTCTTTCTGCCTGGAAACTGAGAAACGTCCATGGCGTCCAAAAAGCGTCCCTTTAGGTCAAAATTGGTTTTAGACCAGCTAGAGAACAGCGATAGTAAATTATAACTACTTGCAGAATTGAGTGATAATGATTTGTGGGGAAATTCATCATCAGACACTGAAAACGATTTTGCGAATCTGCTCAGTGATGTGTGAACTTGGCGCTATATTTCAAATTTCAGTGTTTTTGGTTTGATTACATTATTGAATTAAATTTATTATTATATTATTTTTTATGATTATTAAATTATAATTTAGGATTTCGTGTTTCAAATTTTATCATACCCGGGATGTTTACTAGACTCTTGTTCGGACAGATTTCAGTGAGTTATTCCTAAAAATTACAGGCCTACAATAAAAAAAATACATATTTCCATGCAAAAAAATGTACCGTTTTGAGCACAGACCGCTAGGGAGGTTAAATTTGTGGGCTCCCGGAAAATGGCGACAAACTTCAGTACCCTATATTTTTTTATAGGCCACGCTTTCAAAGCTTTGCTTGACAAAGAGCGCGCTCACTCTTTTGCGCGCATGCTCCAAAACACCATTGCATCACGTCTGGTGATGTCATTACGTCGAGTGCTGCGTTCCAACTGCGCCCCACGTGCGTTCTAGTTCTTGTTTTGGTCTTCCCACATCACCCAGCTGGCTATGGACCTAGAAAGAAGACTGTGTTGTGTGCAGTAGAGACATCTGTTGATCTCGGACTTCACTTGATACTAGATGTGCCTGTCTACTTTACACATGTGAGTGCATTTTAATTTGTCTTTTAATAAATCTAAAACAGTCTTCACTTAGTGGTGCCTCTTTTTATCCTTTTCTGCATGTTCCTTGGGGACTGCTGCTTCTTCACTGCAGAAGGCCCCCCTTTAGTGGAAACTGGGAGGTGTTCTGGCACAGAACCTATTGGATACACCAGTGGACTGTCCCGCTATTGTTTTTTACAGACAACAGTCACCTTGTGCCAGTTCATCCCCATGTACGCTTTAAAAGCCCCCTAAAAGTCATCGGTTTAGTGTTACAGAGGAGGTCTGGTGTATTGCAATCAACGCATTCATGTGTAAGTGCACCAGACAACTGCATTTATATTTGTATTTGCATATGTGCAGGGGTGGGAGGCCTAAAAATAACTTTGGGGGGGGGGGGATTTTATGTGCTTTTTTTTTTTTTTTTTTTTTTTAAATCACACGGGACAAAAAAGGTCCCCTATGTGATGATTTTTCCCGGCCATGCTAGCTGGGGAAAACTGACAGGGGAACACGAAAGTGACCTCACACACGTCGCTTCCAGGTCAGCACCAAGAAAGGGAGGACAGTGGAAATAAGTCTGCTCTCTCCCCTCTGCCCGGTGGCACCGTTGTGTTGGTCCTGGGCTCGCAGATGGCAAGCATGGTGGGGTCCACTCTTACCTGTTACTGGGGTGTGTGAAGGCAATCTGTCACTGGATTCATCTGACTGGAGGCAGTCTGATTGTCAGATATACCCACACTGTGTGTGTAAAACACTAGCTGTCAGGTCTGTACGACGCAAGGACCTGGCAGTGAAAGAGTTAATACTTATAGAGCTGTTTAAAAATGTTTTTTTTTTTTTTTTTTTTAATCTACCTTTTGATGCACTTAAAAACCAACTCCAGGATATTAGCAATGGCATACCTCAAACGGATACATACAATAATTGCAGACTTTTTATTCTTTATATACCTTATTTTTTTTTCCCTCCAATTTTTCTCATGGTGGCCATTTTCACGAAGGGCAAATGAATCTGTCACTTATTACTTCCTAGACCTTTGCCTGGAATTCTGGGTGATCCTCCAGCAATGTATGGCAGTGCAGAGGAAGGCAGTGGTGATGTAGCCTTCCCAGGAGTTGTATATTGATGTATAACCAGGTATTTTCTTTTCTATAATTTCTTTACCTTTACAAGGCTTCCTATTTGAAAATATATTTTCTCTGCATCTAAAGACGAGATGCAAAAAAAAAAAAAAAGCACTTCTTTCCATTTACAAAGCAGTTGGTCAGACATCCACTGCAAGTGAATCTTCCTGGTGCATGTTTAAATGATAGTGATTTATTCACCAGAGAACGTTTGGTATGAATGTTTCATAATTACGTTTTAGGATTATACCCTGAAATGCTATTGTATTAGAAAAGAGCATATTTTGTATGTGATTTGCCCTGTTTATAGTGGTTTGTTATAAATGAAAAAAACGGTGTTTTTAAAATACTAATTTTTCTTTTAATGTAACGGAGGAAAAAAAAAAACATTTTTTTTATTCATGCTTACCTAATTTGCATTGAACTTTCAGAGATCCTTTTCTTTTCTGCACTGCCATCTTATATAATGTGGCCTTGCCAGTCCTGTGCATGTGCATCCAGCACTGCTTATTGTGCTATTACTATGGCATTGTGGAAACAAAATGATTCCTCGATAGAGCACTGGATGCCAATGTGCGGGATTCTCAGTACATCCAGCTTTTTAGTGTGGAATCATTTTGTTCGTTGTTCCAGTATTGGCAACATAAGCGCCACAGGAATGGCTATGCTTGCTATCCTGTTAGAGTGCTGGGGGTGCATGTGCAGGATCTATGCTCCACAAATCCCAGCCATGCACACCCAGTCCAGGTGATGTCATTTTTACCTAGGCGAGAAATATGGCAGCAAAGAGATGGCAAGATGAAAACAAGGTTATTACCAAAAAAGTATGTGATTGTGTCAAAGGAGGGGGTACAAAATTGTATTGAGGAATGTTTTTGAAAGCATGGGGGAAGGTCTGCTTTAACAAGCATTAATTGAAATACGCCCTCACTGACCTGTGCTGTGGACTTGGGTTTTAATACTTTTTAAGATCAGATGGAAAAAAAAAAAACTTGTTTGTTGATACCACTTGCCACATCCAAGTGGTAGCATTGTCTGTTTTGATGCAAGGAAAATCAGTTGACCATGATAGAGAACTCTATACATTTAAACGTTTTTTTCAGAGATAAAATTGCTTTGTCCTAACAATCCTATTACAATGTATGGATTTCTTTGGGTGCAGCATGGCCTTTTGCATTGTGTTAGCCAAGGCAGGCCAAACGCAACATTTTCTGTGGTTTGCTTTCTGGAAAAAAATAGGGTCCTTCAGTATCCTTCTTCCTTTCCTTCCCTATACATGTGAAGGATTCAGATAAAGATGGTCAGGCGCTGTAAATGACTATGCAATGGATATAAAAAGTCTATTACAAATATGTAATCTGCTATACCTGAAAGCACTAGTTGAGTAGCTGATATTCTAATCCTCAGGCTTCAGTATTTTGAGTCACTGACGTGAAATAAGAAGTCAGGTCAATAGGTACTGGCTTTATGTACTGCCTGCTTTCTGGGGGGTCAGTGCATTAGACATTGTGAATGCAGAAGGATGAACATGGTGACAAAGCAACTAACATTATCCAGTTGAGTTCACCAATGGCAGGCAGCGTGTTTTTGGACAGATATACAGTGGATATAAAAAGTTTACACATCCCTGTTAAAATGTCAGGTTTATGTGATATAAAAAAATTAGAAAAGATAAATCATTTCAGAACTTTTTCCACCTTTTAATGTAACTTATAAACTGTACAACTCAGTGAACAACAAAATTAAATTTTTTAGGTGGAGGGAAGTAAAAATAAAAAACGAAAATAATATGGTTGCATAAGTGTGCTGTAGGATGCGACTAAGAAAATGTCAGGAAAGACCTAGAACGGCTGAACTTTTATTTGGGGTTAATCAGAGGCACTTGAAATGATGGCAGGTGTGTACGAACTCCTATTTAACATGATTTTGAATGTGATTTCTTACATAGCTACATCCCCAGTTATAAGAGGGTGTGCACACTTATGCAACTGCATTATTTTTTATTTTTACTTCCCTACTAAAAGATTTCAGTTTGTTTTTCAATTGAGTTGTACAGTTTATAGGTCACATTAAAGGTGTAAAAAGTTCTGAAATTATTTATCTTTGTCATTTTTTTACATCAGAGACCTGACATTTTAACAGGGGCGTGTAGACTTTTTATATCCACTGTATTAGAAAAGTAAATGTACGACGGGAATTGACCTATATAAGTGACTGGTGTCCCCTTATTCATCCTAAGTTAATATATAATAATGAGTAGATATTAGGAATTGGTATAAGGGCTGCAAAGTGAGTGTTCCTTTTAAAGATGATTTACCTTTAGAAGACTTTATATAGACCAGTGGTGGATGTGTGAGCTGCAAATCCCATTTTTCATAGCACAATTTATTATTTTCCTTGTCATTCTTCAAGAGTAAGGAGTATATGAATACAAGTGACATTCTCTGCAGCTCATTAATAGCCATAGCTTTTTTTGCCTCTACGTCTCCTATGGATCACAGGACGAACTGCACTCCTCTGACCTGTTTTCAGCTGACAGCGGGCAGAAGTCAGTTTTGTTACGAAGCTGGTCCAGGCTCTGAAAAGATCCCAACCATATGGAGATTACAGAATTGTAATCTGACTGCCATTTGGGGTTCAGACCCACAGTTTACTTATTTGTGCTTAATTTTCTCCGTTGATAAGTTTCATTTACATGCACTCTTAAGTTTGTTTTTCCATAACTGTTTTTTTTTTAATAGCAGATAAAGGTAATTCTGCTTATTTATCTCTGTTTTATTGCTGGAAACCCTGTTAAATGCTTGTCACCAGGATGTTTTTTTTTTCCTAGGACGTTGTTCTGTTTAGCGTGTTGTACATTAACCGCTTCTTGACCGTCCTATAGCAGATATACTGCTACAGGGCGGCACGGGTGTACAAAATCACGTGTGTAGATACACATTACCAGGTAGGGGGGGTGGGTGCCCTACCCGTGCTGCCATTCGTGGCCTCGGCTGTCAATCACCGGCTCCCGGCTGCTGATTACTTGCCGGTGCCCGGTGATTGCCGAGCATCTCCGACGTGGTTTCAGTGACTCCAAGTCAGTTACCCCCCTGTGTCAGAATGCCCGCCACAGTCCCTCTATAAGTCACTGATCACTGCCATTATTAGTAAAAATTAAAAACCGCCATTTGTAAACGCTATAACTTTCACATAAACCAATTCATTTACACGTATTGGGATTTTTTTTTTAGCAAAGACATGTAGCAGAATACATTTTGGCCTAAATTTATGACGACATTTGATTTATAATTTTTTTTTACTGGACATGTCTAATAGCAAAAAGTAAAAAATATTCTCAAAATTGTCAGTCTTTTTTCTTTTCAGCGCAAAAAAATAAAAAATGCAGCGGTGATCAAATACCAAAGAAAGCTCAATTCGTGGGTAAAAATGGGCGTAAATTTAATTTGGGTGCAGAGTTGCATGACCACGCAATTGTCAGTTAAAGTAACGCAGTGCCGTAACGCAAATAATGGCCTGGTCAGGAAGGGGAGTAAATCCTCAGGAGGGCAAGTGGTTAATGGAAGTGCTGTTTTTGATCCTGTAGACCTGTATGTAGATCCTTGCATCGCTTTTAATGACCTATTACAAAGATGTGGTGGGAAAGCAGAAAACACCAGTAACTGAATTTTGCAACTGTGCCTTCCTGCCCTGACAGCACATCATGCATCTTTCTTTTTTTCAGAAAAATGCAGTTCCAGTATGAAAATGTCTGCTAATCATTTGTGGTAGTGCTATATTTTATCCATCTTCATGCACAGAAGGTGGCCTGGCTTTCAGCAATTCCCTGTATTTACCAGACCTTCTTTTAGCCGTATTAGTAATTAAAGCAGAACTTAATTGTATATGAGCATCACAAACTGAAAATGCTATTAATTTCATTTTTGGTATTCAAAGCAAACCCACCCATCCATGTCTCCATGCTTTATTTTTTTAAAAACATCTTGAGCAAGGGCAGATGATTTATGTAGCATCTACTTCCTAGAATCCATTTGCCCTTAGCTCAGGCATGCAGGCAGGATGGGGTGCTTAGCTGAGAAAACCCCTTCTTCCCCTCCACCAGATGAAAGAGAAAAAAATGTCCATGAAGACTTTTAGGATGTATGATATATATATTATTATTAATATTATTATTATAATACAGTATTTAGCGCCAACAGTTCGCTCAGCGCTGTACATTACAATGGAAGACAATACATGAGACATTACAATAACAATACAATGCGATACACGAGGGGTTCGAGGGCCCTGTTCTTTGGAGCTTACAATCTAGGAGGGAGGGGATTATATATATATATATATATATATATATATATATATATGGGATATTGATCTGGACAGTTAAGTAGCGGGGGTTGTTGTTAATCAACTGCTTTGGTGTTAATAAAATTAGCAACAGGCGCACTCGATGGGCAACAATGAGATGACCCCCCAAAACAGGAATAGTTTACAGGTGGAGGCGACTGGCATTTTTTTTCCCCCTACTCATCTTTTCATACTGTTTTTCACTAGTTTTGCATTTGGCTAGGGTCAGCCTCACTACTGGTAGTATGAGGTGATGCCTGAACCCTACAGAGGTTGCACAGGCAGTACAACTCCATGATGGCACATCAATACGTGCCATTGCCAGAAGGTTTTCTGTGTCTGCCAGCACAGTTTGGAGAGCACATAGGAGATTCCAGGAGACAGGCAGTTACTCTAGGAGAGCTGGACAGGACCGTAGAAGGTCCTTAACCCATCAGCAAGACCGGTATCTGCTCCTCTGTGCAAGGAGGTACAGGATTAGCACTGCCAGAGCCCTACAAAATGACCTCCAGTAGGCCACTAGTGTGAATGTCTCTGACCAAACAATCAGAAACAGACTTCATGAGGGTGATCTGAGGGCCCGACGTCCTCTAGTGGGCCCTGTGCTCACTGCTTGGCACTATAGAGGTCCATTGGCATTTGCACCAGAATTGGCAGGTCTGCCACTGGCACTTTGTGCTTTTCGCAGATGAGAGCAGGTTCACTCTGAGCACATGTGACAGACATGAAAGGGTCAGGAGAAGCCGTGGAGAACGTTATGCTGCCTCTAACATTGTTTTCAGCATGACTGTTTTGGTGGTGGGTCAGTGATGGTCTGGAGAGGCATATCCATGGAGGGATGCACAGACCTCTACAGGCTAGACAATGGCATCCTGACTACCATTTTCAGACCCTACGCTAGTGCTGTGGGTCCTGGGTTCCTCCTGGTGCACGACACTGCCAGGCCTCATGTAGTGAGAGTATGCAGGCAGTTCCTGGAGGATGAAGGAATTGATACCATTGAATGGCCCCCACGCTTGCAAACTGGAGTGGGATGGGACTGGACTTCACTGTACGGCATGCTGAGGACTCAGAGAGGGGAGCGCACTGCCTGGCAGTGACTTCCAGGGAGGGTGAGGAGTTTTGCAGAGAGTCTGGGGACAGGCCCCATACTGCAGTGGGATGGGACAGGACAGCCCACGACAGGAGGGGGGTCCCCTTTAGAGCCGACTGCTCTTAACCCTGCTGCTTGCCTGCAGAAGGGCTACATGTAAAAAAAAAAAAAAAAAAAACAAAAAAAACCTGTTGCCTGGCACCCAGAAACTGCATGTCCCGGGCGTCGGGCGATAGCAATCACACATCCCTGCTTCTGCATCATTTTTTCACTTTGATTTTCAGGCTGTCTTTGAATTCAGTCCTCTGTAGGTTGATAATTTTCATTTCCATCAAACGATGGGGCATACTTTCGTTTCTGACACATTACCCAGTCCATATCAGTATAGATATCCAGCAGGAGATTTTTTCCCCATTGAGATCTGATGTGTATTTACTCTGGTTATCTTTGGATAATATTGAAATTTGTTTGATCTGGATCACTTAAGTGTGGCAAATATGCAAAAAAATCGGGAAGGGGCGAATACTTTTTCACAACACTATATGTATTCCTAATAGCTGTTATGCTTTTAAAGGACTGGTTCACTTTTGTGCACCTTATTAAAACACCTGTTATATAAACCTGTACCCAACCTGGGGATTGGTTGATTGGCGGTAAGCCGCATTCTAGAATTTCTGTCTGGTCATGCAAGGAGCCACATTTTTAAAGAAACGTTTATGTGTTATGTATGTTTTAGTCTGTGTTTATTTCTACTTCTTTTATCAAGTTCACACACATGCAGTGATTTACGTTATGGTGTTTTTATTTTATAGGCCTCGGAGTAGAGGAAAAACAACGTTGGAGGATGAAGATAGTATGGATGGAATTGAGGCAGCAGAACCAGAAAACTCTGCAGACACAGGTTAATGTCCAAATGATATATCATTTGTGCTTCCAGATTCTGAATTATTACAGCTACCTTTTTCATTCCTGCCTGATCTGCTGTGGTGCATAAATGCATGTCGCTTTGCTCTCTTGTCACATGTTAACAAACATTGCAGTAGGCCAGCCCATTCATTTGACTTGTCTGCTTAATGCACCACAACAGACCAAAAATCACACATGCAGTGTTTTTGGGAGCTTAGAACACTACACCACAATGCACAACAGGTATTCATCCATACAGCTGCACTGGAAAGGGGCGTTGGGTGTCATTCAGACTTCAAGGCACTGCAGTGCACCAATGGGCATAACACGTTAACGCCACAATTGTGTGAACTGGATTCCTAAGATGAATGTGAATGAGATAGTAGGATTTTTTTTTTTTTTTTTTAGAAAAACTATTGTAAGAGAAACAATTGAACACTTAAGTATGCAGGGTGTTCATCCAGAGAACCAAACAACTAGCACTTTTAAAGGTAACTCAGCAATTGTCTCAAGATTTTTTTAAGTAAAATATAGTTGTTGGACCTTAGATTGCTATTTTAAAATGTGTAAATAACTGCAGATTCACAAAAAAAAAATATATATATATATATATATATATATATATATATATATATATATATATAAAAAAAAACCTATGCTTTAAATATGTGCAAATATATTGTAGTAAACATCTTTGGTTCTCTGAGATCTTCCCTCAATAAGCAAATGAGCTTCCCAAAAGACCCAACAAGCAGAATAATCAGTCAGTATTTGAATCATGGCTTCTTTCTTGAGTGATGAATGAAGATAAAATACTTGTGTGGATTCCTGTTTCCAGCATTACTATTAGATGTATATTCATGTTGGGAGGGAAAGGGGACACACTTTAGATGTGCTGGATTTTTAAACTTTTGTCGATTTTTGTGTCCGTTAGAGCCCTAGATTTCCCATTAGGCGTTTTCACAAGGTTTGCAATATCTCTAAAGCTGTAGGGGGGACCATTCATTTATCAACACTGCTTCCTAGATTTCTTTATTATGGAGTTTCATAATATGTACAGTATATATTAAAGTGGTATTAAACCCAAAAGCAAACCTTTATTATATTGCACCTTACCATTTATTAGATGTGATGGCTGCTTTCATATTCTTTTTTAGGCTTTCTTTCTTGCAAAGATGTAACATACTATTTAACACTAGCAGTGGTGCTTACAATGATCAGCTTTTATTTATTTAAAACCTTTATCCCAAAAGGAAAAATAAACTGCTGTAACTGGTTATAAAGTGTGAGCTGGAGTTTGGCTTCAGTGTGTTTTCTGTATTCAAAGCCTATTGCACACGATACTGATATTTGAGCATCTGCTTTTTTTTAACTTAATTTCAGGCACTTTTTTTTACGTGTATTTGCGCATGCTTCTACGCATATTTGCGCGCAACATTGCCTGCATATGTGCGTTTGCTCATCTGCTCGTACAATATATTCTTGTGGAAAAATCAATCAAATTTACGGTCATAAGCGTGTATTTGTACGTATACGTGTGCATTTGGGTGCAGGTGGCGTAAATTACTGACCTAAAGTTCAGGCAGCTGGATCCTGTAGAAATCTTCTATGCAGTTATGACAGGTTCTTTCACAAAAATGAAAAAGTGCCATAAATTAGGGGTGTATCCACCCATCAAAAAGCATTTTCCCGACTCGCCATAATTGGAAGTGTGGATTCTAAACCAAAAAGCTTATAAGAAAAAGCTGACTAGAGCAGGCCTACCAAAAAAGATGGTATATTATGAATCCTATGCGGAGTAAATATTCGCTATATAAATAGTGGATGCAAATATTTTATTGAAATCAATTAGATCATGAAAAGGTAGGCATTGGAATCATGGTGAACACATTGTCAATCATGAAAATAAAATCAGTAAATAAAAACAAAAAACAAATAAGCGTTCGGCGGTTTCACTTAGCTGCATCCATAGCAGAAAAGGCCAAACTGAATATTGGGCAAAGCCATCTTCTATGTTTTGGTATAGGAAGTCCATAGTGTTAAATACAAATATAAGTATATCTTCAGGGTTTGAGTTTCTTAATCTTTGTCTTCTATCATTGAGGTGTCGAACATTTGAAGGAAATGTTTATCAAAATGAAATGATGAAAGATGAGTGATGAAATTCCTGAAGAATAAATATGTGATAAGTAAAGGATCCTGGAATAGATGTTATAGGCCTGTGTTTTATCTTGGATCATCAAGCTTAACCCCTAATACAAAAAACATGGCTTCTAAAGGAGGAATATATCATCGTAATCAATATTACCTTCTTTGCCATTCATTATCACATAGATTGGTTAAGAAAATTGCGTTGTGTATGGCCAACTTCAGTCGGCCGATATTCCTTAAATAGGATACTTTCAGTGGATAACAGTAATGATAAATCTAAAATAATAAGGGCATTAATATATAAGAAATCAATCAGGATTATGGGCAGTTCCAAAAGAGAAAATAATTACCCTGATGGAGATCATATTTGTTTCCACTTGTAGACTATGGATCTATGTAGATCCTGAAAAAGATGAGAGGTGTATACCCTCCTAGATGCCAAACATTGTATAAGCTAAAGTGGGTATATCTTGAATGTGCATATTGCACTGGACATATATGTAAATAGCCTTCTAATGGCTCCAAAAATTCCTCTTCTATATAAGTGCAAAGCGGTTCTTTTGAGAGGTTCTTAGGACAGACCGTCCCGTTTTCCATACGATAATACTTATCGCAAGATAAATCAATATTCACCTATAAAAGGCCCAAAAATTTCTCTATAAATAAGAGTACTGTAGTTCCTAAATGAGGTTCAGAACATTAAAGTCCCGTTATTATAGATTGCAAGATATGACTTCGCTCTATTTAAGAATTACTTGCCAGCGGTGGAAGTGATATTGCACCACTTATAATTAAATGAACTCCCAGGAGTCATCCTAAGTACTGGCGGTTTTCCGTCTTGCCCAGTGTTTGTCCAAGATGGAGGCGCGTGGCGTGCCTCTTTCCCCTCATGGACATCGTAGCATGGAAGGACGCAGAACGTGCTGATGTCACTATGTTGACGCGTTTCGTCCACCAATCATTGCGGACTTCGTCGGAAGTGATGACAGGTTCTTTTCCTGCTTCCGAAATTTTCAGCTCTTTGATGATTAATAGCACCTAGTCGTCTTTGATGCTGCGGTAAACAAGCTTCCGATGAACCCACCGCCTCCATTTGGGAAAAGTTCTTTCATTGATTACACTGCATGGAGGAGAGTCTGATGAATCACAAGATTCTCTACCCCCTGTTCACAGATCCAGTTACATGTATGGGATCAATTAAAGAACTTTTCCCAATGAAGAGGGAGAAGGGGACGGAACCCTGTAGGTCACTACACCTTCACAGAAAAGACTAGACTATTAACCCCTGCAATACTAAAACTTCAGCAATAGGAAGATGACCTGTCACCAATGCATAGAAGGTTTCTGCAGGATCCAACTGCCTGCAGAGTATGGGACATGCTTCATAGGTAAGTAAGGTCAGTTGAGTGTATCAGTCTCCGGTGTGTGTTTCTGTGACTGATAGGAGGGAGCTATTCCATTACTGGTTGACAAGCGTCCATCCATCCATTAAGGAGGCATCTGACAGGATCCAAGTTGCACCCACCAAGGGAGACATCTGTGTAGTTGTATACCACCCAGAGGGAGGATAGTCAGTTAAACGGCACAACCCATCCATTCCATCCTGAGAGGGGGACCTCTGGTTATATCATTTTACATGCGTATTTAAAGATACGCATCTGGTGAGTGCGTATTTTTACTATAATTTATTGGCACGCCACTGAAGTTTGAAGTCACCATCAACTCCTGTATCAAGCACTTTACCACGAATGTCAATGTCAAGATTTTACTATTCATTTGAGATGATTTTTAAGCACTGCACTTTATGAATTATTAGTTTTATGAGGTTTTTACAAGGTCAGTAAAGCTATTGAGAAGGCACTGCTGCATCTATTCCCCCTTTTCCTCTTCTTCACACAGCACTCAAGCTGCTGTCAATCAAATGCAGTAAGGAGGAAGTGTGCGCAGGGCAAAGTCCCACTGTGTAAATCTTTGGAACGTGGCTCAATAGACACACAGCTCAGTAGCGCTCAGACACTGTGTGCCTCCATAGCAAACTGCTTGCTATGGGGGCACGCTAAGAAGAGGAGAAGCCAAGATCGCAGGCAGGGGACCCGAGAAGAGTAGGATATGGGCCGCTTTGTGCAACGTCACTGTGTTTACCATGGAGTTTAGTAACACTTTTTAAGCTTTAATCTTCTGGATTGGAAATCTGTCCATAAAGACCTTTCCCATTTAGTGCAGTAGAATTTTTACTGCATCTCTATCCTTGGTTGGGGTGAATTGTATACTTGAGAACATCTAATGCTGTCTTAAGACTCAGATTACACAGGATAGAACAAGGCAGTTTCTGTCCTACAGATAACTATACAGCTGGATCAGAGCTAAAGAAGTTGACAGCATTTCTTATTGCTGTGGAAATGTTTTTCTTTCTATTTACAGCTGGATTCTGCAAAGCAAACAAAATGAAGTCCAAACTAAGTCCTTGCTGTATACATGACATCCTGCGGTACCTTATCTTGCCTCTCCATTCCTGTAGAAGTCCTAGAACCTCCGGGTATTGAGCATATGTGCTTGTGTCCCCCTGACCTCCAACGGTGTTGCAAAGTAAAATGCTCTTCTCAGAGACATCTGATGGAAGCAGCCATTGTGTGGCTAAATAGCTGTCTTCTAGTTCAAGGGTATTGATTTTATTGGGTATATAGCTGCATAGGTTCAGTTTCACTGATCAAGAACTTGTATGAGAGTGCGCAATTGGAGGATGGAAATTTCCTATAGAGATTTCTGAGGTGATTTTGTTGTAGATTGCTGCTTTGTCTGCATTCTCTGTGAATGCTGTACTGAACTCGTCCAGCTCTATCAGCATATGCACCTTTTTTTTTGTAGATGACACACACGACATGTCTGCACCTAGTTTTGGGTAATTCTTTTATTTTCGGTAGTGGTGTCCTCAGGATAAAGGCAGATGGATTCTTGGGTTGTACTTTGCTGATTGCAGAATGAGCTGTTTCTTTGACTGAGAGGTGGTCACCTTTATGAAGCCTTGTTGGTTGTAACACTTAAAAGTCAAATTCTTCGATTTTTGCTTTGAATATCAAATTTGCATGTTTAAAAATGTTTGGAGTAAAATGATGAACATTGGCCCCTCTTCACTAGAATTTTTTTTAAGGAATCACTCCTTATGGCATATAAGCTTTTTCCCCACATTGGACCTCCTGAAGACGCAACAGAAAGTGAAAGGAAATCTCTGTAAAATGAGGGAAAATCTGCTCTTAAGCCGGCCATGGGCGGATCAAAATTCAAATGGTTCAGCAGGAACCAGACAATTTTGATCTGTCTGTAGGCAGGTTGGTTGTACTGAAGTTGATCTATCTGTAGCTGCAGGGCAGTGATCATTAACCTGTGCAGTGCCATGCCAGTTACTTCTTGTTTCTACAAAAATGTAAAGAGCTGACACAGCATGTTTAAGATCTTTCCATAGATGTTCGGTAGAATTCAGATCGGGGCTCAAAGAAGGCCACTTAATATATTCCAAAACATAACGAAGTCCTCCATGTTTCACATTATTATATTTTTATTCTTATACAGTATTTATAAAGCGCCAATAGTTCACTCAGCGCTGTACATTACAAGACATTAGTCCTTTCCTTTGAAAGCTTCATTTTTTTCATCTATGAACAGCACTGATGTGACTTGCTAGAAAGCTCCAGTGTTGTTTGATCTGTCTAAAGGACATTCTTCCAGAAGCATTAATGCTTGTCAGTATGCATTTTGGTAAATTCCAGTCTGGCTTTTGTTTTTCTTTCAACAGTGGTGTCTCCCTGGTTCATCTTCCTTTGAAAACACTGTTGCTCCAAAAGAGCTGAATGTTATGATCAGAAACTGTTGTACTACTTTGGAAGTTTTTCTTTGCTCTGTCTACCAATTCGCACGATTCCTTCTTTTCAATCTGGGGTTGATTTTCTTCTTATGACCACGTCTAGGGCAGTTGGCTACACTCCCTTGGACTTTAAAGTATAACTAAAGACAACACTTTTTTTTTTTTTTTAAGTTTTGAATAGAGGGGAGATAGAGTGGAACACCTGTCAGATTTTATTGCTGTCTGTGCCCACCTTTAAGGAGATTCACCTCTTCTATTTGTCCTGTATACCATTATTATTGAAAGTGAAAGCAAAAGAAAAACCCACATTTTGGGTTGTCCCCAGAAAAGTAATAGAGGGGAAATCTTCCAATGGGGATACTAGTTCTGGTGACCTGGGGGTCCCTAAGGAATCTCTTAATTTTCAGGGATTTCCTCTCATTTCCTGTTTGGCTATTGGACAGGAAGTGAAGGGAAATCTCTGCAATAGGACACTGATGCCGAAAAAGGAAATCTGGCAGGGGTTATAACCTTCCCTTTTATCCCCCCCCCCCCCCCCCCCCCCAAAAAAAAAAAAGTGTTGCCTATAGTTCTACTTTAAGGCAGAGTTCCAGTTCTTGTGTTTGTTAAAAATCAGCAGCTACAAAACCTCTGTCCCAGGGTCCAGCGATGTGCTCACCCGCACCATCTCTTTTCTGCCTCCTCTCTTTTCGGTGCTGGCATCAGAACTGTCGGCGCCAGGCTGTGACAGCTTGCATCTTCACAGCTGGGTGTTCACTGCACATGCTTGAGTCGCGCTGCGTATTCTGATTGGTTCGGCAGTCTTCTGTGACCTGTGAAAGTTCCTAGGAGACTGGGAGGAAGGAGGGGGACGAACGTCCGGCTAACTGGGCTGGAAGTGGGAGCAGGTACCTGTCCAAACCAGGTACCAGCTCCCCCCCTCCCCCCTCCCAAAAGGTGCCAAATATGGCAGTGGAGGGGGAGGAGGAAAACGAGCAGAGCTTCCACTTTTCAGTGGAACTCTACTTTAACCACCTCCTGCCCATAGGGCATCCATGGATGTCCTGGGTTGGGGTAGTTACACTGGGATGATGCCTGCAGCTACAGGCATCATCCCAGCATTAAAATATGCAAACAGAAATTGTCTTTCATGCAGAACTTATTTGAGTGGCTAAACAGCCACTCAATCCCTTTGTCGGGCAGCGCAAGTGGATCTCACCCTCCTGCTGCTATCGCTGCTTATCCTGGGCTCAACTGTCTGATCATGGAGCCCAGGACCGCTGTAACTGGTGGCTAAGATGACATTACACAGAGAGAGTGGGGAACTGACATTGTTCCTCCCTCTCTGTGACCCCAGAAGCACCAAGATTTCGTCACTTCCATTTTTGGTTCTTTGTTTACCTGGCTATTAGCGGCCAGTAATGCAGCCGATTAGATCAGTCTGTGTCTGATCGGCTCCATTGGAGCCCAGAGGAGAGTTTTGGGGTCTAATAGACCCTAGATCTTTCCACAGAGGACCTGTCACGGCCCATGCTTTCACAAAGGATGTTGTTCATCCCTTGTGAAAGCAATAAAGTTGAAAAAAAATTAAAGTGACAGTAAAAATATAAAAATAAAACTATAAAAAAATTTAAAGCACAACCAATGTACTGTAATGATTAGCTCTGTATGAATGATCGTAGAATATAGCTTAGTGTAGCATCACCTATAGCAGTCCTGTTCCTATAAGGCAAACAAGCCTAGCTTATTGGTACGTGGCTGCCTCCGGGAATGCCATGGTTAGTGGCCAGGAAGTACAGGAGGCTGAAGAAAGGAAGAACAAGAGAGTTCCTGTGGTCCCAGGACTGAAAAGAATGGCTGGTACTGGTGTCTCACAGGAATGTAGTCAGCAGGATGTGTCAGATGGGTCAGTTCAGGCACAGACAGAGGCATGGTCAACAAGCAGGCAAAAGGATCAGTCCAGGCAGCAGGCAGAAATGTGGTTAATAAACAGACTAGGATTGGTACAGGCTGCAGACAGAGGCAATAGTGAACTGGTGTGGCGGTGACCAGGGACACTATGACTGGTTTGACAGTGATCAGGGACATAATGACTGGTGTGGTGGTGATCAGGGAAACTGTAGCTTCTAAGGTGCTGGTGATCACAGACCGTGTGAGTGGGTGGCAGTGATTACGAACAATAATGAGTTTTGTGCAATGATTGGTGATGATGGGGCACTGGGACTGGCGTGGCGGTGATGAGGGGCACTGGGACTGGCGTGACAGATACTGACTGGTGACAGTGAGTTAAAAAGAAACAAAAAATGTTTTTAAATACATTTTTTTTTTCTTTTACATACTGTCACCCTATTAGTACAGTGTCACCTTAGTGACACTGTACTGCTCTGGATGGGTGATGAGGATTTTTTTTTTTTTTCTACAATGTGATTGCTTTTACAATCATCATGGCAATGCAATTATTTAGCTCTTTGGCTGCATTCCTGCAGCCATTGAGAAATACTGTGATATCTGTGATTAACTGTAGCTATCACATGGTATAGGTCTGCTGTGAATGGCCCTGTATACTCTGTGATCTCTGTGACCAATTAGAGATCACACTGTAGTGAACAATGATGCCAGGAAATGACATATTTATTTCTGTCCATGGGATTGCTGATTGGCTACAGGGCTCACATGGCACCAGGATTGCTCACAGCCCTGTTCAATTACAGGTGTTCACTGATCACACAGACACAAGTGGTGGATGCAGGGGGGTGGGGGTGGGGTATGGGTGCATCTGCCTGCATCAGCACTGCTCCAATCCGGCCGTTTATCTACTATGGCTGACCTGGAAGCGGTAGACTGAATACGAGACTGAAGATGTGTTATACTAATTACAGAAAACTGTTGGTTTGAAATATCAATATGATACAATTATTTATAATCTTCTCCAGGCCATTTTGGCATATTTTTGGACATTAAGTAATGATCTCTTTGTTAGTTTTTTTTTTTTTTTTTTTTTTTTTTTTTTTTTTTTTTTTTTTTTTACTCTTTACTCTGACAAATCAAAGGTTGTACTTGAGACTTAATCCCTTTTCAGGAGGAATGCAGCATTGTTTCAATGAGCTGCAAGGATACCGACAAATTTGTCCACATCTTTGTCTTTTTGCTTGCCTCAGTCTTGCTGATAACCCAATAACCCAATACAAAGCTAGCAAGCTGCCAAATAGACTACCAAATCAGTATTGCTAGACAATCTGCTCCATGGAATAGATGGAGAGATAAAAGTCACAAAGTGGAACCAAGGCTGAAGAAGGTTACAGTAACAAATCCATAGTTTATAGTTCATCTTAATTTTCAATACAGCTTCATTCACATCTCAAAACACTTTAACAATAGTAAACAGCTAAATCTTCTATTTTCTTTTCAGACATTAAAGAAAAACCTGTGGAAGATGGTGCCCAGACCGAAACAACGGACGCTGAGCAGCTAACACCTATCCTTCAGCGCTCTTTATCCGAGGAGTCTGAGCACTCCACTGCCTCTGTTGGAGTTGAGGCCAAAAGCAGGTCTGTGTGCACTAAGTAGACCGATGCTGAGTCAGGGCTGGGGGAAGGGCTTTTGTAGAGGGGGAATAATTGGTAGGGAATGTTGGGAGTGAGATCTGTAGTGTTAGCAGGCTGCATGAGCAGCTGCCAAACTAGATCCTGGATGTCTTAATTATTGCAAAGAAGAGTGATCGAGAATGATGTATCCTATGTCCTTTAGTTAACAGTTGGATAAAAGGTTTCCAGGGTGTGAACATTCTAAAACTCTTTTTGTACTCACTTCTGATGTGTTTCTTTAAGTTGACAAGCAGCAGTTTCCTTTATTTCTATAAGTAATTGTTTTGGCTTAAAATAACTTTAATAGTCTTTCAAATCTGGTCTGGAATCCTTTAATACTTTGGCTTGTGTGATATCGAAGAAACAAAGTAACAAGACGAGTAGGGTAAAGACGTGACTTGTAGAAAATGTTAAGAATTACTCAAACTATTTTGTAAAAATTTTAATAAAAATGCTACAATGGTTTTTAGATATGAGTATAGTGCAGTAGCTGTTCTGCTTTTCAGTTAATTTAATTTGTCTTTATTATAAAATGTAAAGCAGAACTCCATTCAAAAAGCAAACACCGCTTAGCCTTTTTCATTTTTTTTTAATTCAATAAAAAAAACTGTTCTAAAATACTGCATGTGCAGCTTTGTGAAGTGATACCATATTTCAGTAGCGAAAACTTGCGATAATTAAATGTTGGCGATAGCCGACATTCTTTATCAACAGCTTTCACAATTGTTAAAGTGTTACTAAATCCAGAACCCTGCATTTACTATATCTGGTCTTCCATAGTACACAGAACATGGAAATGCAATTATTTTAGTAAATATAAACTGCTAAATACCTTTTCTCATCAGCAGTTAGAGCAGTCTTGTGACTTCTATCAGTGTCCAGCCGAGAACATGTTAAAGCTTGTAGGAGGAGTTTTTTCATTCTGCTGTAGGAGGATGCAGAACCCCTGACCTCTGTCTGGACAGTGCTGATTGGCCCTGTGCTGATCACATGCACTCTACCTAAAGTATCAGATAATAGGAGGGGGACACTGGAAGAAGGGGAGGATCAGAGAAGTCAGGTACAAATAGCCTTTTTACACAATGCAGAGGATTAGCCCCATAGGTTCCACAGTGAGTATAACAAGTATGCTTTACTGCATATACAGACTGATTTTACTGTTTTGGGTATAGTAACGCTTTAAGGAGCCTGAGGCTGCCACGTCCCTGACAACCATGACTCATCTGCTGTCAGAAAAAAAAAAAGAGGTCTGCCTCCCTCCGCTAAAAAACAAACTAAGGGGTAAAGCCACCTGGTGATGTCACTGGGTGACCCCTGCCCCCTTATGACATCATCGACCAGGATGCAGGGGGTCACAAAACTGCATAGTGAATTGGCAATTACAGGATTGCATGCGATTTAGGGAAAATGTGTCCAGGCACCTAAATACCGTATGCATTTCAGTGTTAGACATTTACCTTTTCTGGTCTTCTCACTCTACTAAGAAACACACAAACTATGATGTAAAATATGTAGTGATTGCATTTAGCATGAAACCCAGCTAGTATGGTTTCAGCTCTTGCACTATTTATTCCATCTCCCAGTCTAATTTGTGAATAGCATCAAAAATTACTGTAGCTATGAGATTCTCTCTGTTCTAGAGAGATGTTTCCACATTGTTGGTTGGCTACTTTGGTACAGGTAGACTTTAAAGTGGCTGTCTATTAAGACTAAAGTGGAAAGCCACTTTAAATAGCGTACAGTGACCAAAGGTGGTGGGGGTTCCCTTATGTTGTTTGCCAGAAATTTGTGGGACCAATTTTACAAGAGGTGTGTCGTCTTTCTTCAAAAGGAACAAAAAACAAGTAAATTTGAATGCTCCATGAGTACCAAATAATGCATATCCACACTGGTTCAGTATGTGAAATCACTGCAACAGGTGAAAGCGCCTCTCTATTCTTAGAGCAGTCTTTCCCAACTTTGTTACCTTGGAGGAACCCTTGAAATAATATTTAGCTACCAGGGAACCTCTGCTAAAAATTAGATCTACAGTTCATGGTATGTGATTTAAAAAAAAAAAAAAAAAAAAAAAAAAAAGATAGGAATAAACAAAGTATTAAAGAATGTGCAGTGCCCACAGAATGGGACACCCAGAGAAGATCATTTTACAGCTCTACTTTGCTTTATTTTATTTTCTCTAATCACTAAATGAATAATAATAATGGCCAGAAAAAAAGAACTGATTGAAAATTAGCCCAGTGTGGCCAGTGAAGTGCCCCTTTCATTTGCTGTCAATAGAAAATTCACCCCCTGGCGCTCTCCCCCCCCCCCCCGGCGCTCTCGCCCCCCCCCTGGCGCTCTCCCCCCCCCCCGGCGCTCTCCCCCCCCCCCCCCCTGGCGCTCTCCCCCCCCCCCCCCGGCGCTCCCCCCCCCCCCCCCCCCCAGGGCGCTCTCCCCCCCCCCCGGCGCTCCCCCCCCCGCCCTGGCGCCTCCCCCCCCCCCGGCGCTCTCCCCCCCCCCCTCGCTGCACCCCCCCCCTGGCGCTCTCCCCCCCCGCTCCCCCCCTCGCCCTGCGCCCGTCCCCCCTGGCGCTCCCCCCTCCCCCCCGCCCCCCCCCCCGGCGCTCTCCCCCCCCGCGCTCTGCGCCGCCCTCCCCCCCGCCTCTGCGCCCTCCCCCCCCGCCCCTGCGCCCTCGCCCCCCGCGCTTTCTGCGCCCTCCCCCCGCGCTTTCTGGCGCCCCCCCCCCCCCCCCGGCGCTTTCTGCGCCCTCCCCCCCCCCTCCCCCCCCTCTCCCCCCTCTCCCTGCGCCCTCCCCCCCCCTCCCCCCCTCTCCCTGCGCCCTCCCCCCCTCTCCCTGCCCCCCCCCCCCCTCCTCCCCCCCCTCTCCCCCCCCCTCTCCCCCCCTCTCCCCCCCTCATCCCCCCCCTCCCTCCCCCCTCTCCCCCCCTCTCCCCCCCTCTCCCCCCCTCTCCCCCTCTCCCCCCCTCCCCCCCTCTCCCCCCATCGTCTCTCCCCCTCTCCCCCCCACCTTCCCCCCCTCTCCCCCCCTCTCTCTCCCCCTCTCCCCCCCCCCTCTCTCTCCTCCCCTCTCCCCTCCCCCCCCCCCCCTCTCCCCCTCTCCCCCCCCCCTTCTCCCCCCCCTCTCTCCCCTTCTCCCCCCCTCTCTCCCCCTCTCCCCCCCCCTCCCCCCTTCTCCCCCCCCCCCCCTCCTCCCCCCCTCTCCCCCCTTCTCCCCCCCTCTCCCCTCCCCCCCTCCCTCCTCCCCCCCCCTCCTCCTCCTCCCCCTCTCTCCTCCCCCCCCTCTCTCCTCCCCCCCCTCTCTCCCCTCCTCCCTCCCTCTCTCCTCCCCCCCCCTCTCTCCCCCCCCCCTCCCTCTCTCCCCCCCTCTCTCCCCCTCCTCCCCCCTCTCTCCTCCCCCCCCCCCTCACTCCTCCCCCCTCCTCCTCTCCCCCCCTCTCTCACCCCTCCTCTCTCCCCCCCCTCCTCTCTCCTCCCCCCCCCCTCCCCCCCCCCCTCCCCCCTCTCTCCTCCCCCTCCCTCGTCTCCCCCCTCCCCCCCTCTCCCCCCCTCTCTCCCCCCCCCTCTCTCTCCCCCCCCCTCTCTCCCCCCCTCTCTCTCCCCCCCTCCCTCCCCCCCCCTCTCCTACCCCCGCCCTCTCCTCTCCCCCCCCCCCTCTCCCTCCCCCTCTCCCTCCCCTCTCCTCTCCCCCCCTCTCTCCCCTCCCCCCCTCCTCTCCTCCCCCCCCTCTCTCTCCTCTCCCCCCCCTCTCTCCTCCTCTCCCCCCCTCTCTCCTCTCTCCCCCCCCCCCTCTCCCCTCTCCCCCCCCTCTCTCTCCTCTCCCCCCCCTCTCTCCCCCTCCCCCTCCCCCTCCCCTCCCTCCCCCCTCCCCCCCCTCTCTCTCTCCTCCCCCCCCTCTCTCTCCCCCCTCTCTCCCCCCCCCTCCCTCCCCCCCCCCCTCCCTCTCCTCTCCCCCCCCCCCTCTCCCCTCACCCCCCCTCCCCCCTCTCTCTCATCCCTCCCCTCTCTCTCCTCTCCCCCCCCTCCCTCCCCCCTCTCCCCCCCCCTCCTCTCCCCCCCCTCTCCCCCTAACTCCCCCCTTCTCTCCTCCCCCCCTCGTCATCCCTCCTCCCTCCCTCTCTCTCTCCCCCCCTCTCCCCCTCTCCTCCCCCCCTCCTCCCCCTCTCCCCCCCTATCTCCCCCTCCTCCCCCCTCTTCCCCCACTCCCTCCCCCCCTTTCTTCCCCCTCCTCATCACCCCCCTTCCCTCTTCCCCCTCTCTCCCCCCTCTCCCTCCTCCTCTCTCCCTCTCCCCCCTTTCCCCTCTCTCTCTCTCCTCCCCCCTCTATCCCTCCTCTCCCCCCCCCCTCCTCCCCCCCCTCTCCCCCCCTCTCAGCATCTCTCCTCCTCCCCCCTCTCATTAATTAGCAGAATGTTCCTCAGAACTTTAGAACCATAGACCTTATAGTGAACTTTGCAGAGTAATTCTGTCTATCACAACTGAAGTGGTGAACCTGTTACCTAAAATGACACTTGAAATTACTGTTTACTGGATAGAAGGTATTTCCCATTATTTTGCTGCGTACGCTATTAAGAGCTATTTAGCAAGTCAGGCGCTCTGCCAACCCCGATCTCCACACACACACACCCTTCCCATAACTTACCTACATTGATAGGTGCTTTTCTCTTCATTGGTCATGCTGGCAGCCAGTCAGATACGGCCATTACATCGGGCATGTGGATGTTGTGATGTAGCACTGGGCAGGGGGGGGGGGGGGGGTGGTTTCCAGGTGATAGCTGCATGTAATGTTTACCTGATTTGGGGCCTCCCATGGAGCACATCTCAAAAAAAAAATGTATGTACATGCAGACACCATGAGAATGAAGAAGGTGATTTGTAAGTAATACTCCACATCCTTGTTCTGTCTGTATGGCACATTAACCACTTGTATACCAGCCTGTAAAACCCCTACCTGTGATAGTTTGACA